TCAAAAATGTTGAGTACTAAAAAGTTTTAATAAATCCAAGGCATCTTCATGTGCTCCATGAAATTGAATATTAAGACAACATTTGAATCAAGTCAAAAAGAATTTGCCAAAGTCTTCAGAAGCTTCCAGGGATGTAACAGAATATTAATTTGGTCTCTTGGGTTCTTTCCATAAGACTGGATGTGATTTACGCATATAACCCAGACTGACATGGGTAGAGTTTAACCACATCCTGAGCTTTCCTTTTAATTATTTTTCTCAATGAACATTACAATATGCAGTAACACTTTGGTACAGGGAGCAATGACACATCCTGTACCAGAACAGATATGAGTACTGATAATAGAACAGAGAGGTCTTTGTTCATCTATGTGAAAAACAACCAGCTACATTTTTAAATCTCTTTCTTTGATAAACTATTCTGTGCCTCATCTACAGTGTATAAGGGATTAAATTTGGGGTTGAATAAAAAAACCCAATAATTTTCACTTTTCTCCAGAACCTTAAGAAATAAGAGAAGTCTCTTTAGCCCTTTCACCTACATGTGGGTCAATTCGAATGTCAACATATCATCATGTGAAATTATTCTCATAACAGAATGAGGAGGGGAGCTCAGTTGTTTGGAGCATGGTGCAGGTAACACCAAGGTTGTGGGGTCAATCCCCATATGGGCCATTTCCTAAAGATTGGGACTTGATGATCCTTGTGAGTCCCTTCCAACTCAGAATATTCTGTGAATCTCAGTTAGTCAACGAGGTGGTTATCCTCTGTCTTCTCCCCTAAAAGTGAAGGCTGTTCATTGCCCACCCTTTTGATCCTCTTTTCTTCTGCAAAACATTTATGTATTTTTTTGTACCCAAAAATAATTTATATGTAACTATCACAGATGCAAAAAAAAAAAAAAAAAAAATTTAACTGTCCCCTTTTCTTCACATATTTCTTTCCTTTTAGTAAAAATTTAAAGCCTCCTTTGGGACTGGAACATTTGTCCCAAATCAGGGAAAATGAATACATTTTTCCCCACGATATTTTCTGATTTCTGGGCTACAAATCAATATTGTCATTTGCTTGAAATCCACAGAGTTTGCAATCACCATTTTCCTTTCCTTATTATTTTATTTGGTACAATTTTGTTATTACTGTACTGCTCTTTGGTCTCCTATAGACCTGTTCTGTAGTAATTATAATGATTTTTACAATAACATATACATTATTTGTCTTTTAAAATCTTTAAAACCACTAGAAAACACTGGGCAAGTGGATAATGTTTTTATCACTTTCTATCTATTCAAATCCAACATTTTGAGAGACCTTTTAAATTTAATCCAGTAATTAATTGAATATAGTGGCTTTAGCTGGTTATCCTTACAATTTTGGGATATTCTTTAAGATTAAGACATTAATTCTCCTGTATTTCACCTGATCATATAGTACACACGTCACATTTTGAGTCTGAGATATTCAGAAAGGTCTTTTGTCTCCTGTAAAATATTGCATTTTGATTTGTCTCAGTGTTGCTCTGGGCACTTTACTGAGCTATAAGTGCATGGCTCTGCCTGTGATATTAGGAGGTTTTTAAAATAAAAATCCTTCTGGTTTACACTAGATTTGTTTCTGCACATCAACAGAATAAAATGTTGACAATGTTCCAAAATTTAAAGTCCTATCATCAGCTACACTGGGATATCAGTTGGGCCCTTGCCTAGGAGATAATAAAATAGACAAATGGAAAACGTGGAATAGTTGTATCATAAATTATTATGTGATACTCATTGTGTCTTTTACTTGCCAGTTAGTTGACTGAAGGCCACATCTCACTGGCTGGGAGTAGAAGTCAGCACTGGATTGGTTTGACTGAAGGGAGTTACACTATGCTGGGTGACACTGGGATGTCACCAAGGGCCCAGGGAGCTTGTATGATGTTACAGCAGAAATGCCCCAAAGAGGCTGCACTGAGAGAAGTCCTCTTCCACAGGGTGACCTGTGCAGGGGAGAGAGGGGCTTCTTTGGGATGTTAAGGGTCCATGTGACAAGGAGGGCAAAAATGTGCACAGAGCTGGTATGTTTTTTCAGGAGAAGCCACTGAGGAGGAGAGCAGGATCCCAACTTCTTTGCAAAGTTCTGACCAAATGTCAGATATTTGGAAGTGAGCCTGTACTTGTTTTACTGTTTTGCCTGCATTTAAATGTAAACTCAGATTTTGCCCCTCCAGGTGAGTCCTCAGACTCTCAGGCTGTCTCTTTTCTGCTTCTTGTTTCTAATTTCTGTCCCTATGAATCTGGCATTTTTGTCTGCATAGGCAGGAAAGAAAACCTCAAAAGAAAAGGGAAAAGGGCAATTCATACACACCTGAAACTTTGGAGATACTGAAAGGTTTGCTCCTTGTTGAAAGACTCTGATCTTCAGGTTATAGTTTGGGAGAGTTGCTCCAGGTATCCTGTCTGTTTTCTGACAGAACAGAGTAATTTCTCTATTTTAAGAAGGATTACCTTAAAAGGAATTTTTTTGTGCCCAACCTCAGGATACAGAGTGCCTCATTTTAATCACATCATGTAGTTTTAAGGCAATGCACAGATCTGTTTTTTCTGGTGGGGAAAGACCATAATTTTCTTCCTCTCTGTTTCTTTGTCCTTATTTTGTAGCTCAGTGCATGTGATTTCTTTTCACTACATGCAAAATGTCAGGGACTTTCTGTTGACCTGGCAGTGCAGGGATTAAAAACGTGCCTGGGCTTGTCTTGGCCTGAGCTGATTTTAGCTTGTGTTTGCTGTGATAGCCATTGCCTAGCAATCAGCTAACCATTCCCTGCACTTCTTTTAGTTTAGCTTTAGTTTCGGGTGATAACAAGAAGTTCCCTTCTGTAGATTGACCTATCTGTGACCCAAGATTGAAGCACTGGGTCCCACTCTCGTCTTCCCACCACCCATCATGTTTTCACAGGGATTGTCTGATTCCACATTTCACTCTGCCCAGGAACATGGTGTGACTTTTAGGGATGCTTCTGAGAAGGACCAGGAGTTGGACTCAGTGATCCTTGTAGGTCCCTTCCAACTTGACATATTCTGCAATTCTGTGAACTAATTGTCTCAAAATATCAATTTTTGACAGGATTATTTTTCCTTTCTAGTAGAAATACTTTCATTAGTATTGCATCTTATGGCTTTGGTCTGAAGGAAAGGGGAGTGTTCAAACACAGCTGAGTCCTTGAAATTGCCATCACTTGTCCCATTCAAGTCATCTAACCCCAGATTCTAAATTCTCCAGGATAAAGAAGTCTCAGATTTTTTTCCAGATTTAGGCCAGAGATATTTTTTTCTAAGGTCCTCATTTAAATTATAGCAAAGCAAATAACTTTGTTTAGACAGAACCCCAACCTGCAGGCTATGGTTTCTTTTCCTCTAGTGTAATAATATCCTTTGCAGTGTGTTTTATTCAAATGCTTGTTCAAGTATTAGGCTTTTGCACAACTTTGTTTTTAGAGGAAAAGTTTCAAAATATATTTGTTCATACTGTTTCAGAAGAACTTACATTTTTCTTATCCTAGGAACATTTGCACAAGAAGAAAAAAACACTGTCAAGGGGAAAAACATGGCTAGTTTTTCTTTGAATATAACCCCCACCCCAAATTATTCACACAGTTCTATTTCTAGACAGAATTTTAAAGCCTTGACTACTTCAGAGGGAAAATACTGCAAATTTCTTCTAATAGATTATCTCTGTGAAAAGGAAGAGATTGGTAATGAGTAACCTTTCTCTCTTTTGCTTCAGAACATTTTAATTGTGTTCCAATTACTTCAACATATTTAATATACTTCCAGTATGTATTTGCACAGTATGCAGGCAAATGATTTTCCACAGCCTTATACAATATAGTGAGTCATAAATGATTGCTGCTCCTCCTCCCCCCGATCGCGCGTGAGTCATAAAGGGGTAAAGTCTGTCTCGCTGCGGCACCGGGTGAAATCCACCTGCACACGGGCGGCCGGGGCAGAGCCGGGGCAGAGCCGGGGCAGAGCCGGGGCAGAGCCGGGGCAGAACCAGCAGGCAGCCGGGGCAGAGCCGGGGCAGAGCCGGGGCAGAGCCGGGGCAGAGCCGGGGCAGAGCCGGGGCAGAACCAGCAGGCAGCCGGGGCAGAGCCGGGGCAGGGCCGGGGCAGAGCCGGGGCAGAGCCGGGGCAGAGCCGGGGCAGAGCCGGCAGCCGGGGCAGAGCCGGGGCAGAGCCGGCGGGCATCTCTGACCCCACAGGCCCACGGCAAGGCCCTGTCTGCATCTGCGCTCCAGCTGTGCGCCCTGTCCCTGCGCTCTGGGGGTGGATTTCCTAATCGCCCTGCATCTGGCACTGAAGTTCCCCAGTTTTTGGGCTGTGTGTGGGGACAGATTCCAGTTTGACTCAGGACCTCAGCACGGCAGTCGAGCGCTCAGCTGCGCTGGTGGGGCGGCAGCAGCCGCTGAGAGGGTTTTGGCAAGCTTATAGACGTGCACGCACAAAACCTCTGCTCCCCACAAACACATGCAATGGGAAGGGAAGTGCCTTGAAATCGGAGGCCTCAAGGTGGGTGGCATTTGCTTCCTTCCGTCCCTGCAAAATTAAAGCAATTTTTTTCTACAAAGGAAAAAAACCCAACACGCTGTGATTTGGTAGTGTAGGGAAAAATGTACCCTTTGAATGCTCATTTCTGGATCCGTGTTAACCAGGCCTATGAGACCACCAAGTCCTTATCGTCTGCTGATAAAGTTTACTAACATATTCTCAAGCAAATGTTTTACCTCTTGATGTACTTGATACGGGTTCCTGTCAATAATCAACTGTTTGAATAGTATCTCGGCAGTCTGGCAACATGACAGCTACCCCTTCCTGAACTTTCAAGGGAACAGAGGTATCATCATTCATTTTTGCTGATATACAAAAATAAAAAGTTATTAAATTCAGTGTTCCTAAACACCTCTATACTGTCATTTTTACCATATGTTGTTTTTTTTTTTTTTCTCTTTTTGAAGACTGCCTCTCAGAAGCAGACTGACCAGCTCTACCAATGAGTGAAGGATCAGGTAGGGTAGCAATAGATACCCTTTAAAATATTTTGTAACATACCATTAAATAATTTTCTTCCTACATCTGAACTTCCTGATTTACATCCCTCTCTAATTTTACAAAAAAAATACCAGTCAGGGATCAAAGCTGTATTCCCCTAAAAACATAGAAAAATCTTTTCCATTAAAAACTCAGTAGTGTGGAACCTTTATTATACAAATATTTTAACATCCATACAACTATTTTTTGGAGGAATTGCACTGATTTCAGCATGCCCTACATGCACTTCAAATGTGATTTAGCTCACTTAGTTTTGATCATTGCAATGTAAGATGTCTAGTATAACCAGCCTTCCTAGGTTCCCTCTAGAGTCAATGGAGAGAGATTTTTCCTCCGGAGGGGTGATTCATACCTCCCATCTTAGACTTCTGCCTCTCTCAATTGACAACAGAAGTGTAGCCTAGACAACTGTGTAGATTAGATTCCTATCTCTTAGATTAGGTGAGATAAGTCCTATTCTTGGCCATCTTTATGCATACAAATTTGCAGGATTGGAGCTAAACTGTTAAAACAGCTAAAGTACCTGTGGGAGCTGACAGATTGATTGATTCAGAAGATTTCCACACTCTGAGTACAAGACAAAGGCAAATCATCTAGTTCTTTTGTGGAGGGAAAAAAACCCGAAAACCAGAAAATATTTTAATATTTACTTCTCAACTATAAGAACAAGGAAACAATAAATAATAACAATGAAATATACCTATTAAAAATTAGCATAAATTAGTAAAAAAAATCTGACACCTAAGAGGCAAATTTGCTAAGTGTGTTTCAGTGATGCCTCAAACATAACCTTGATTTTTTAACAACTGCACATAGCTTCAGCTACATGTTTTAATACAATGGGTCAGAAGTCACATCTGAGTAATTGTGAATTTTTTGTCCCCAGATTTCCCTTTCTGAGAAGTTAGCTGGCTCCTGACTGTCAGGCAACAGGCAGTGTGCAAACCAACAAGGTGATCAACCTTCCACATTTCAAGAGTACAAAAGTAAAATTTACTGCTAAGGGCAACAGAATTTAAAATGTTTTCTGTTTTCATTTTGTGAATGCTGACTGAAAAACCTCGCCAAAGTTCTGGTCTCAGCACTGGCAGTCTGCTTGATGATAAACCAACAAAAGAAATGTATAAAGATGAGATAAATCAGCCTTCAAATTTCAAATATTCTTCCTTCCATTTTTTATTTTCTAGTCTTTTACATTCTTTCTTCCTTTCTTCCTCAGTTATGTCCCCCTGCCCTTTCTAGCCCTCTCCCACCTTTCCTTTCCTAGTTTCACTTGCAGTTCCTAAGACCAGAGCTCATGCAGTTGGACTGGCTGATCTAAAGGCCTGCCAACTCAGAAATTGTTTACATGGGTAATTGTTTAGATGGATAACTCAGAAATTGTCTAGATGGGTAAGGTTAAATTGTGTTCATACATCAATTGTCATTAGACTTTTTCCCCTTCTCAAAAGGAGTAGAGTTTTTATAGCTATCATGCCTGTATGGATGTTTGGTGCATGATTGTGTGACTCAAGTCTCAGCTGATTGACTTCATTCTTGCCCAGAAGAGGGGTTGGGTCCTTCTTCTCTGATTAAAGAGCTGTGCTTGGAGTGTGGGAAGAACCTCAACTTGAGGTGGCATGTCTCCTCTCTGTATTTCTGCTTTACCTCTTGTGTTGTTTAACTTCCTAAAAAAAACCCCTCAAACCCAAGGTAAGTGAAGAGGAATGGACTGTGGGTGATTTGGGCATGGAAAAAGTATAGTCTGGGAGACTTGCTCAATTTACCACAGATCTGGTGATAACAGCTCTCAAGAATTTTGTCAGGACCAAGTCTAGGTTGTCTGGAGTGTCCTAAGCTGTTTGTGCATCAGAAACAGAATACCTTTACTAACACAACTCATAAATCTTTCTTCCCTGTTGAACAAATTGTCTGAGTGGATGGAGCTCATCTGAACCAATGTATTTTGCTTCTGGTACCCTCAGTAGCTCTTTCAAAGGTAATTTAGCAATTTCCACATGGTAGCATGAGAATAAGAAATGTAAATATGTATCAATATATTATTTCTATAAATATATAAAATGAGAACACATAATTATGTGTGGATTTGAGTCTATAATTGTTGATGACTGTATTGATATATATATATATATATATATATATATATATATATATATATATAATCGTTCTTATGTCTCTGATGGTAGGAAAGCAATAATAGTACTTCCCCCTCTCACAAGGGGATGCAGGATGTACTAAAATGTGTGAGGGACTGTCATGGTGATTGTAACTAAGTATATAATTGTGATGTGAAATATATTATTTTTATATGGTTATTTTTTTCTACATGTACTGAATATCCTTTCTTCTAATATCTCTGAGGTAGGGATACACTTAACTTTGTATTTTTCCTCACAATATTTTGTGAGCTATAAAATAGCCTTTGCAAAAGAGGATACTTCAGTAAAAGGTAGTAAAAATGCTAAGAAATAAAAGAATGAATAGGAGTTCAAGAAACATATGAACAATGGACAGATTTGAGAAGAAATAAGAAGGAATGATCAGAGATCTAGTAAACATGATCTTTTTTTATTTGGAGGAAACACTGAAGAAATCAATAGCTTTTAGTCTTGATAATTCTTAAGAATGTAATCTTTAATTGCAAAAAGAAAGGTAATAGACTATACTATTCTCAGCTAGAGAAAACACAAACAAAAGTAGTTTATACTCAAGCAAGGAAAATATTAAAAGTAGTTTAGAGAAAAAGGAGTTTTCAGGAATAGTTTACAAATCTGTATTTCCACACTGCTGAAGGTAAGAGGAAGGAGGCAGGCAGGCAGGAAGGAAGGGAAGAAGGAACTTTCTGTTTAAAGACATAAATATTCTAGTTTTTTTAAACATAAAATCTTTAAAATACACTATTTCAGCTGCAGGCTTGAACAATCTTCACTGAGCTTGGTGTTGAATAAGCCAGACCTTTAGAACATGTCTTTACTTACTTCTTATGGATACCAAGTGAGCACTTTTGCAATCCAAATATTTGTTTATCAGTGCCTAATTTTTCAATAATGACTTTTCTTGATGCAAATTTTACATTATTTATGAGAACATTTCTATTTTCATGGTCATTTAATCTGCTGACTATTCTGTTCAAAACTGACCACCAAAAATCATTTGTTAGCCTTCACTCCTAATCTGCATAGATGCTTGCTTACAAATGGATATTTGTTATGATTCTACATTTCAGCTTTCTGCTGTCTTCTCTGAAATTTTCACAACTGCCTGTCTCTGTCATCGACACCACAGTAGCCTGTAGATGTATTTGTGCACAATACAGGCAGCCTGTCTACGTACAGAACAGTACAGACAGATTTCCTTGGACTAATTATCTCTTATGTAAAATGCCAATAAGAAGGTGACCAGTGATACCATAAATTATTTCCTTTTTTATCTTTCTCTATAAATTTCCATCTTATTATCTCACAGGATTTAAATGCATGCTCTAATGAGTATATTTCAGTGTGTTGAAAGATTTTATCCACACTTTGGAAGTGTACATGCAGATGTCACTTATAATTAACTGCTCTTTGTTTATATTAAAAATAGAAAATTCAGTCCAGAACTAATAAGTAAAATAGGCAGTATAATTTAATGATAAAAGAGCTGAGACATTATGACAACTTTTTTTTACACTTATGATTAATCACTTTTCTATTAAGACTGCTGAGAGCAGCATGCAGGCAGTTCCCATCCTTTGCCACTGGTGATGTCACCAGTTTCAGTGTAGCACTTTCAACAGATATCATTCTGAATGCTTAGATTGAAAATGCAGCCCAAGGGCTGCTTACAAAACTGATGCAAACCTTTTGTTACACTCTCTTCTGGAAAGTTGTCACAGTTTGTCATATTGACTTTAATAAAATCTCTTGGGTGCTGGATGAAGTTCCCCCTGAAATACCTGCTGAAAAGTGCCATTGTCAGCATGGTGTCAAAGCTGAGCAGGGCTGGGAAAATTTTAAATTCTATTCCTAATATCCAGCACATCCATTCTCACAGGAATTTTTTTTTTTTTTTTTTTTTTTTTTTTTAAAGTAATTCTTTTTTTTTTTTTTTTTAGGCACAAAAAACCTTCCCCCTGCCACCCCTGGGCTCATGTTGGATTGCAGAGCTCCTCTGTCCCAGCTGAGTCCTCTTCCTCTGCTCCCCTCCTGCTCAGCCAACATGCCTCTGACCAGGGTTTTGGCTCATCAACCATCTTCAACACAGCCATGTTCACAGCCTGCTGTTTTTGAAATCGTGTCCTCCCTGGCCTTTCAACATGTCTGAGGGATTGCTGTCCTCATTCTCCCTCCTTGTTGCTTGATAGGTTCCAGATCTGAAGTTTTATTCCAGTTCTGCCTCAACTAAAACCTCATCCTGGCTTGTTTTTTCCCCAGTCACATAATTTTCACACTGCCGTGAGAAGCTACTGTCTGCTTTTCTCTGCCTGTGGTACTCAGGTCTCTTCTCTGTTTTTATTATTAACTTTTTGAAGGAACCCTTTTGGACTACAGCCCATGCTGCTCCTCATATATGCTTTGTAAAACTCTCCAGAGTGAATTGTTCTTTTCTGATCTTGCATGAAAACTCTTCTGTTTTAAGATTTCTATCCAAGCTTGCCAAAGACCTGAAGAGCACAAATAGTGAATGGTACAGTCTTATTGCACTAACTTCCTCACCTCTACTCAGCTTTATTTGGCCAACCCATTCAGCTTTAGGTGGACACCATGTCCAGTGAGGGTTTGGTGTATTGCTGAACAACAACAGAACAATATTTCTGTACCCTAGCATGATTCTTTCTGCACTGGGCAGCATGTATTTGGGTAGCACTTTCTTCCTCTAGCTGGATGGGTGAATTCAGGGCGGGTAGTGTAAAATTCTGGAAAAAGTGTCCATTGGTAAGAAGTGATGCTTTACGGAAAGGGAATGTGTTCTCTTAACCTATAACGTGGATGTTAATAATCTTTTCCTTCTTCTGTGTTGCTGAGACGAGCAAGAAACAGGATCATGAATATGCTTTTTGTTGCCTGCCTCAGGCAGCCAGAGGCAAATGAAGCTGACTTTCCTAATCACATAGATACAAAGTGGGTAGTTTCCCACACAAGAAAACCACCTACATGACTCAAACAATTCTTTCTGTTCAAATGTTTCTATTATTGCTTGTTTGGATAACTAGGAATTTCAGCAACACTGAATATGATTCACCCTGGACAGGGGGAACACTGGGAGGGCAGGAACATTGTGGCCAGCTTTGTACCATGGTAGGGACGGCCGAGTCACGCTGTGAGGTGTGTGGGTTACAGCAGAGCCAGCTGTGATTCCCAGCCTGCAAGGAGCTTTGCAGGAGGTTTTATTCTATATGCAATCTACCTATCTCTATTAGTTCAATTAGGAAAGAAAGGTCTTACACTTACACTAGTAAGTGTTGAGATCTCTGGCTGTGGCCCAGATATTTATTAGGGATGTGTGAGTCAGATAATTTCTTTGGAATTGATGATGTGCCTAAAACTTAAGCTCATGCTTAAGTAATTTACTGAATTGGGACCAGAAATCTTGGCAACTTGCAGGATTGAACCTTAAACTAATCCAAGCATGTTTTTGTTTTTAGTTAAAGAAAAATTCTCCTCCCACCACTCCTAACCCCATCCTCTTTAATAACAATTTCAGGAGTTTGTAATTTTATTTTTTAAATACATCTGGAAAAAAAGTGATAATTCAGATTTTTTTTAGCTTAGTATCTGCCACCAGATATCCTGCATGAAAGTTTTTTTGGACTGATTTACAAAACCACCTTGTTATGAGTATAACTCATAGCATAGATTGGTAATGTGTAACTTAATCCAAAAGACAGCAGATTCAGAGTATGAAGGACTCAGATGCAGCTACCAAGTTAAAGAAATCTTCCATTATGCCCCCTTTCTTTTCATCTGTGTTTCTTTTCACCTCTGATTTTCATGCCCCTGTTGGCAAGGTCTGAAATGAAACTAAGCTACCTTAAATTATTGCATTTAAAGCCCAAGTTATAAGGATTAAAGTAGTATAATGTTGAGTAATTTTGACAGAAAACAGTGTTTGGTGTCAAGTGTTTCAATGAGAGAGATTTGCATTCAAATATAGAGATGATTTAGCTATAACACATCAAATTCAGAATATTTAACTGAGAATTAATAAAATACTGGCATATATAATTAAAGTGTCTGTAGATTGTGCTAAAAAATCTCTGTGAAAATAACACTTTCCCCTTTAAATAGAGTCTGGTGATGTAGGAAGAGATAAACAAGTAAAATGTCCCCTGCTTACAGTGTTATGTCTGCTAGTCAATATGTCTTTTTCTGACTATTAATTCCCATGGTATCCTGCATTATCTGTGTTGGAAATTCAGCTGGAAATTCAAAGGCTAACAGACATTATGAATTTCTAGGAAAATTTTTCAATCAAGACCTAGGGACCTTGCTACATATAATATATACAATTTTCTCTATAAATTTTTCCTTGAGTGAGATGTAGTATCAGTATAAAATATAAGAAAAAGCTTGTTTTACTAGAAGAATAGAAGCCTGTTTCTTGCTTAGAGTATTTTTTTCAAGAATATATACTACACTGAGATGTCTTCTGATATTACCTGATCTGTTGTGTTGTCACAGTGTAATGACTCCTACTGCTACAGCTCTGAAGACAATGCTCAGGCCTAGGAGTTAGTGTTGTATTGAGATCTTCTTACCTGTAAGAAGAGAGTGAACTACATCTTCATAAGGCAATTCATGAGGAATCTTTTTTCTTTAGGTATAACAAAAATGAATGCTGTACTCTGAAGTATCTGTCCAGGCTGCATTTCATTACAGTGCTATCTGTATCACTTGAGTACCTATGCAGGCAATCTGCCCTAAAGCCAGACTCCTTTGGGTCTGTTTATTCATTTTGAGTTAAAATCAAAACAACAGTATTGAGCAAGAGTTTTCATGTCCTGCTTTAGAGATGAACTTTTCTCAAATTGTGCAAGGGAAGTATTCCATTTAACTGTCCTGGAATGTTTCGTAAGGTTATGGGCTCTCTTGTGCTTGCCTGGTATGATTTGCAACCTACTGTGGCAATCAAAGGCCTGCACCTGGAATTATTTCTGGTTCTAAACATTTTCTAATCCTTGCAGACTGGTTCACAGAGTCATATGCATAAAATGATAGGATGGAGTCTTTGTTGCTTGGTTCTCATTTATGCAGCACGGAAGGGGCTGTGTGATTCTCCAAGGGGACTTCACTGTGTATAGAAGTGCTGAGTTGTACAGTCAAAGCCTGGAGTTCTTTTTCCCTGGAGGCTCATGAAGACAACAGGTTTACTTCACACATCTATCCATCCTCTGCTGGAAGCTGTCTCATATCTATTTGGCTGTGTGCCACAAGTCCTGCTGTACCTCCTTGGCCATGCAAATTAGAAAAAAACACCTCTGGAAGGAGTATTCCTACTTTTAGGGCAAACCCTAGGTCTTTTCTCCAGGGTTATGGCACACATTCAAAACCTGGTTCCTGAGAGGTATGTATAAAATCTATGTGTTTTTCCATGCTGAAAAAAGAACAATCTATTTTGATTTGATATATAACTGACAAAATGATACTGATGTTAATGGGCAAGAAGAAGGGAATGTGAAAAATTGTCATCTTTTCTAAGTATGCTTCCTTTGCTGGATAAAACAGGTATTTTGTCTTTCATGTGGTTTACAAAGTTCTTGGTCATCAAGATCAATCATATCTCCTTGAATCTCAGGCCAACACACAAGACATTAAGAAAATAAATAATCCCCCTTCTTTATTAATTTTTTTTTCCAGGGGACTTATGTGAAGATTGTAGAAGCATCAGTCTCTGGACTTTTTAGAATTTTGGGGCAACAATATTCTTCAGTCTTAAGAAACTTCCTTACAGGTTCACACTTGTTTGTGTTTTATGTTTCTCAAATACAATTAATACTGAAAAGATTCTGTGTCCTGTCCATTTTTCATATGAATTTTCACACACAAAATACCTAAAAGCTGGAAAATCTGGACATTGTTACTGTACCACATACTGAAATTTGCAGGCTGCACAGAGCAACCTTCTTTTAATACAGCAGTTAAGATTTTGTATGTATAACATCAGATGCCCATACTTTTTTGACATATGTAGAGTTATGCCACTTCATATTACCTAAGAACCTGGGCTAGTTTCTTTTGCAAATGAATGTTGACAAATAAAATTCAGAAGAAATCCCTATTCACAAATATGATTGTCCCTAAGGAGTGACAAATGAATGCAGCATTGCAGGATCGTAAAAGGTGATCTGTGCTCTGCATGAAGGCTGTGCACACTGATTTAGGACTTGAGACTTCAGCATGTGGCTTCAAAAACACTGGTGCTCAAAGGATACTTCCTCTCCAGCCCTTTCTTTTGAAGTTTGCTATTGTTGCAAGGGAAAAAATCACATCCTGCAATACCTACAAAGAGCCTGGCTTTATCATTCAGTGCTCACGTCAAGTAGTGCCTTATGTAAGAAGTTCCATTCACTTCTGTTTAAATACTGATGTAAGGGCAGATTACCCAAAGCAAGCAAGGTTTGCAAGAGCAGATCATAAAAACACACACACGCAAGGAACAATATTTCAGAGGCCAAGAGCTTGGTATTCACAGCTGGCTCTGTTCTTGAGAGTAGTTTAAAGGGAAGAAAAGGTGTTCTCTTAGCAACAATTTACACTTAAATACTCATAAATTACAAAGAGCTCTAGCTCTGAATGTGAAATGTGAATTCATATTTACAATGGAATCAATGGATAGGAATATTTTGAACATATTCAGGAACAAAAGGGTAGAAGTAAAAAAGGAAAATCTTCAGGGTGGAGCTTAGGCATTCTTGAAAATATTGGAAATGTCAGTTTGGAGATATTTTTTAAGCTGAGGGGATCATGACTTTTGTTGGAACAGAGAATTTTATAAATTCCTTTTTGACTGTCATCTGCAAATCATTTGACTGCTGGTAAACAGAACCTTCTATTTGTTCTGATAACAGAGGGAAGGCTGGAAATAAGGAATTCCACCCTTAAAGCTGTTAAGGTAGGTCTAAAATTGATGTCTATTGGATCAAAGGGTGGAATATTTTCCAGATGATCCTCTGTTTCTTCTGAGAAAAAGAAAAAAACCCAAGAACACAAACCCAAAAATAATTACCAAGGTGTTAGATTTCAGTTGCTGAGCATGGGGATTTAATTTACAATTTTGTGTCCTGATAGGATGAAACCCAACTTTGACAGTAAAATCTGCTTTATCTTCTTTCTATTTCTTTTATTACAAATTAAAAGGTACAGTCCATCAATTGCTATAGAGGTCTTAGAAGGAAAAAATCAGATAAGCATAACTAATAGAAATTATTTTTCTGTAATCTTTATTTTACAACATCCTTATGTATCAAAATAATTGACCAGATGAGATTTCTAATTTGAATGAATCCTTAAATTTTATTGTTGGAGAAAGTGGAAGCTTTTAGTATAGTATCTACTTAATTATTAGTCATTACAGCCTTGGAAATTAAATAGGAATGTCAGCACAAATCAGCCTCCACTTAAATTTCAGTGCATGCAAGCCACAGAGGGAGATGCTTCTGGCATTTCTTCTTCAGCCCCCTATTTATTGTAAATATGGTGAGCTCATTGGCCTGTGTAAAGTGAAGGCTGTTCTCTCAGATCCATTCCCAGGAAGCACTGACCACTTCAGACAACAAAAACACCACCATTGCCACTGCCATTAACTTTTCTTATATTTTAGAAAAATAGGACAAGGATGGGATTATGGCGGAGAAGGAACTGTGTTCTGTCCTTCTGTGTAGCACCTCTGTGTCTGATTAAACACAGTTTTTTACAGGAAAGCTTATTCTATTAGCATCAGTGTTTTCAGTTTGGGATTATTTGGTAATATCAGGGAACACTGGTCACAGCCCAGGGTGGCTTGTGCACCCTGGTTGTGTAACATGAGGAGGGAAGATGTGCAGCAAGTACAGTTGTATGTTCCCTCTGGTCCCTGCTCCACTGTGGGGTTGCAGAAGTTTCTTCATGGGTGCTTGGCAGGTTTGTTTCTTTAAATTCAAAAATAAGATTTTGGCTTGCACATTCAACCTCTGGAGGTGGCTAATTACAATCAACCAATTTTCTGTTTTGGCTCTGTGTAAAAGTCCAGCTTGTCTCCCCCCTAGTCTTCTTTCTTAATATCCTTGTCTCCAGTCTGTCTTTCTGTCCCTAATATGAACATATCTTCCCATGCAGCAGTTTCTTCTTTCACAGGGTTTGGCTCCAGCACCAGAAAGTGCCAAAGGTACAGGAAAGGGAGCTGCCATGTTTCTTGGAGAGAAGCTTGACTCTTCTCAAAGAGATCATGGCATGGCATGTTTCTGATGCATTTTTGCAGGAGCAATGAAGGCGATATATCTTATATATTACTTTTATATATTACTTATTTTGCCATCTATTTTCAAAACTATACTTCAAATAATAGGGTACTGGAATTTTTCAAAGAAAAGGTCAACAGAAATTTTAGGGCATAGGGTCAAGTGCAATATTCTGTCCACCATTATTTTTGGAAGGGTACTCACAGATTTTTTTTTGTTTTCTGAAATCATACATAAATCCTCATGGACAGTGAAATTGTTAAAATCACACAGACTGTTGTGAAAATGGTTAATCAGGAATAAAGGCAAACTAAAATCTTTAGAGTGCAATTATTGTTGAAATGTTGATATATCTTCTACCATTCAGAAGAGAGCCTTCTGTTAATGACCTGGCATCTAATTATGTAAACAAAATAATCAAAGAAACCCTACCTTATACTAAATATCTAATAAACATTTGGCATTGCAAAATGCAATATTTTGTGAATTCAGAACATAAAAAGACTTGTCAAGATCAGGTTCTATCATTTATTCTGGTAAGTTCACTCTTCACTGAAAACATGGGAAAAAACAAATTAAGAACTTTAATAACCAGCCAGCAGGAAATACAGAAATAAATCTAAATTGATGGCAATACTCTGTGTCTATATGGCTTCCTTTGCAGAGTATCTCAGCCTGCAAATTTTCCAAACTCATCAGTATGGAATCCTAAATTCCAGTAAAATTCCCCGGTCCCATTTTGCTTGACCTTCTGCTATTGTTGACCTACTGTGCAGCTCATCTCAGGGCTAGCTCTCAGCCAGATATAAGTGGAACAGATATTCTTCAAGTCTGTTGCCAGCTATGCCACCTTTTCCAGTTTGAAGTTGAAGCTATCAGTACAGACAGATGTAGATCTGTAGTTTCAAAATAAGTGCAGGGCATGCTCTTTCTCCTTATTTTCCTCAAGAGGGTAACAGTTATTTTCATAGTTATTCCCAGGGGTCATAGGAAAGATTCAAACTGACATTCCTTGCAAATGCGTCACTTGTAAGATCCAGTCTCTTTCCAGAAAAAAAAAAAAAAAAAAAAAAAAAAAAAAAAAAAAAAAAAAAAAAAAAAAAAGCCTGAAAAATTGACAAGTATTTAAGGCAATATTTCAGGATATTAGGTATTGGCATAACACAGCATGTTACCCCAGAATTCTTTATCTGATTAAAGAAAAGACCTATGCACTTTCTAAGCACTGTGGATATTTTCTGAAATTGTATTTTGTGTTCCTACATATTGTATTGCAGGATGTTTGCTGTGTCTCATCCCATCAGAAATCCACACTAGTGCATTACCCACCCCAGTGCTGAGGGTGCTACTTATGGTGGTGATATCATTCCATTCCCACTCTCAGTCTCTTGATGCTCTCAGTATACACTTACATTCTCTCTAAAGCCTATTAAACCTTTTAATTAACATATCCTGATTTGGTGAGAACATCAAATAATGGATTTCTGCTCAAATCTCAGGCCACATGATTCAAATTTGAACTTGGTCTTTTGAGGCAAATATAGTCCTTTTCCTCTTAAATTGTGATGTTATTTTCCAACAATATTGTGTTCTATAGTGCATTTACATTAAAGAGAGATATTCATCCTATGACGGGAATCTTGTGTGATAGTAAACACTGTACAAATTGTTGCTGTTATTTTGAATGCAGTGCTCTCTGTGTAATCAGTAAATACAGTTTCCAAATGTGACTTCTTTTTAAACTCCAGTATGGCAATGATTATCAAGGCTCTTTTTCCCACTTTAGAAAATTTTCTGAGTCTCAAACAGGCTAACAGTTGCTTAGTATTTGATTTACTGTCCTCATTACTGTATGGCATGTGGCAGTCAATTTCCTCACTGCTCATCACAAGCATTTAGGAGGATTAAGTATAGAAAAATAGCTTTTCTGGAATACTAATGGTAATAAAAATCACTGATGTTTTATAAAACTTTTTTTTATAGGTTTTCAGATTCAGACATTGGTAATAAATCACATAAAATTAACAAATTGCAGTTGAGAGTTTATTTCAATCAATCATGATTTAAAAAGGGAGCTCTAAGAAAATCTAAAATAATATTTTGCAGCTGTCACTCTATGTCCTAAGGAAAAATGAAGCTGACTACAGCTTCTGCAAGGCCAGCTACTGTGTGTGTGGGTGTGGTGAGTTTGTGCACATCAGCACACACTTGGTCTGTTTGAGTTCTCCCTTGTATCGGTTTTACCTCCTGCACAGGACCGGCTGCCGATTGCCTGTAAGGTGTTACAGAGGGAGGTACATTTTAGTAGCAGATGAAGCTTTCTGAAAGATCATCCTAAGATTTTGTTTTACCCTCCTGTGTGAACAACTGCATTTGGCACATAAAGTACCTTGCTGAGCTGCAGCCACATATTGCATCTGTCTGACCTGGGTTCATGTTGTTTTGTCATATCACAAGGCACCAGCTCTCTCACTTCAGCTCTTAGAAGATTTTAGGCCACTGAGCCTCGCTTTTCTCTGCAGAAACATAATTCCCTTCTCTTCTGAACAGTTTTCCTTTGGTACCAGG